ATTTAATTTGAGTAAGTTACCCACTTATACTGTTATAATTTTAAGACAATCTATGTGCCACGGTTATATCCCAATTTATCTAATGTTTTCATATTTCCTGGATGGTGATTCATATGCATGCTTTTGAATTTACTTGAACTTGTCTGAGCAGGTATGACTGAGAGAAGGGATCAAGGCTGATATGCTTCTTCAGAAATCTGCATGTAATAGCACTGAGTGCAGGGCATTAGCATCACATTCTCTATAGTATCCTGAAGTCATTATGGACAGGAAAGAAAATACTTGGGGAAAATTGTTTTCTTTAAATAACATAGTCCCAATTTAATTCACATCTACCAAGTGTTAAGCAGTAGGTCAGGGACTTCTCAGAGATTATCTCTAGTTCCTAAAAACGGCTTGGAAAAGTGGCTATTACTTCTCTCAGAGGATGTTATCTACTTTTCTCACTCTATTGAATAAATGCACCACATAGATCTTTGCTGTAAGTCAACTAATCGACTTCAAGTTACCCAGAATTAAGGTTAGGAAGCTAAACAAAATATGGGCAGGCACTCATGGTTTACCAACCTACATTAAGTACAACCTATATCCTGTGTCTCCAGATGTTTCCATATTGCAATTCCTTAATGATAGAGATTGCTCTCCAGAGTCCTCATTCCCTTCCTTATTCTCTCTATTCCTCATTAATTCCACAGGTATAGCTCTGCATCTTACTTTGATCAGGAACAATTAATCTCTCTTCAGCTTAATCTGCATTGCAAAGTTCACTTTTATTGATTTCCATCTTAGGAGACCACAGTTTCAGTTGCCCCTCCCTATTAATTCTTTCCTTCACCTACACTAGGCTGGGTGTTAGGTTGTTCCATCCATTGACCATCTCCCATCCTATCCCCTGGATGCTCAGCAGGTCTGTACAGGCCATAAACAGTCATTCACTTAGCCTTTGATGTGGATGTGATTCCCAGAGTTGTGCTTCTTGGCCTTTTTAGTTCTCCTTTATAAAACAAAATATAAAAGAATAATTTAGGAAGTGGTATTCTCTGTGATCTCTAGTCACTTCTTCTTAAGTAGCAATTTTCGGAAGTAAATTCCAGGGAGTCAGTATTTTAAGGTAGTCTGAAACCCAGACCCACACTGGATTTCCTTTCCCTACTGTATCCTCACTATGCTTTCACTTCTCTAAACAAATGATTCTTCCTACCTAGTATTTCCACAAAAGGAGCTGTTTTCCAAAAGGGAAGTGAGGAAACCACTACCAGGATCTTTGTATGGTTAAAGAGGGAGGGAAGGGCCCAAACCACAGCCTCTACCTCCACAACCCACACAAACTATGTGCTCACAGCTTGGAGTTGAGTGCTGTTACTGTTGGTTTTATATGCTCACTCTGCAGGATGTGGGGTGCACTTCTGATTCTTCCTCATCACCTCTGTTCAGAATTGGGGTGGAATGAGAACTCATTGGAGGACATTGGTGACATGTTAGAATATGAAATAAGGGTGTCTGGACTTCCTGTCACCCCTGGAGCACAAAGGGCATAATAGATTGTTCCCTCTGACTACAGAATGTAGAAAGTGGGTCATTTAAATCATCTTAATGGCAGGACTAGATTTGCTATATTCACCTTGCGTTCCTCCTAGACCTTTATTTTATTTTCCAGAACTCATTTCATGTTATTACCACTATTTGCTGAATATATTAGTTGAAATAGCTCTGCTCTTCTGACCTGTGATTGAGAGGTTTGACTCTCAGGATCCCATGGAAGTTGCCTCAACTGAATAGAGCCAAGAGGATAATTTTGACTGATTATTAGAGGCTGGAGTGGACTGAACTTTACTGATTTAAGTACATAAAATAGGAATGTTCTCTCGCTAGCAGTTCCTGACAATATTACATGGCTCAGGTTGCCAATTATCTTGATTAGAAATATTAAAGAGAGAGAGGAAAACACTTGGTTTGGGAACCTCATCAAAGGTGTTTAAGGAAGGCCTTATAGCCCAGCCCATCGGAATGTCGGATGAGGTTTTTGTCTGGGAAAGGTCCTTGGAAATCTCAGCAAACACCCTGCCCCCAATAGCATCTCCTGGGCCAATAGTCATATATTTTCACAGTTCTCTGCTGATCCGGTGCTCAGATCTCTCAGTTTTTCTTCCCCTCTCGTAGGGTCTATGTTTCCAAGTCTGTAATATGTAATGACTAAGCTCTTTATGCCCCAATAAGGGTAAATTAATCTATCTGATACCCAAGGGTAAGAAGAAAAAGGAAGCATTGTTAGAGAAAGAAGAGGAAGAGAAAGACCAGAAGAAAGAGAAGGAGAAGAGAAAGATGAAAAGTAACCTGTAGTTTGAAGTTGAAGATATTTTAAGGACTGACATGAAAACCTGTTTATTTTATGTAATCCCTAAAATCATGTTATTTTGCTCTGCTTCAGGCCCAACTCTTCTTCCTGACGTGGCCCCAGGATCTCCTAGTTAGACCCTTTCCCCCCTATTAGCCTTCCTCCACCCCCAACACCTCTGATCCTGTTTTCTGTTCCCACTCTCTTATAATCTCAGAAAAAACCCATTCACTGCCCTTATGTCTTCTTGAATGACGTAAAATCCATGCAGTAATCTGAGACCCTCTTGTTCTCCTCTCTTTCAACCATCAGAGACTCCCATTCACTGCCCTTATGTCTTCTTGAATGACGTAAATCCATGCAGTAATCTGAGATCTTCTTGTTCTCCTCTTTCAACCATCAGAGACAAACAATTCAAGTATAATTCAGGTTTGTGATTTTAAGCACCTGTGTCAGCAGTAAAAATAATGTAGTGTTTCACTGTTGTTGTTTTGTAATCTCATTATTTTACCTATGTTAATGAAGCTTCTGGAATCCCTCCTTTCTGATAATTCAACAGAATACACAGATTTACAACCCATTGTTTACCCCATACCTCTCCTCAAATGTGTAAATCTAGAGTGAGAACTCATATTGGGCCACCGAAAGTGATTTTTTTAAAGGAATGTATCAATTTAGTAAAGGTGGAGATACAAGAAGAGAAAATTAAAATTCTCACACAACCCTTTCTATCCCAAATTTCTATCATTTGTGATCAATACTCCCCACTTTGTAAGACCAACGACTATATAACAAGGAGAATAGGTAGAGTTCTGAGGGCACTTAAGTGGGGGAAAAAGAAAACAAAAATGTTTTGGGTTTCTTAGATTAATTGTTTGGTTTATTTTTTAAATTCATGTTTTAAAAAATAAGTAATGACAAAGGAGTCATTAAAAGGAGTTTTAAAATTTATTATAAACAAGTGTTTTCATAATTCACTGAAAATGTGAATAATAGTATGTTTCCATTTAAAATAAGGTTATGAAGCTGCATAAAAACCCTTATTTATAAAGTAGTGCTGCCGCCATCTGGGTACATGTGTAGGGGGTACCCTCCGATGTTTGTGGAGCTCTGGGGGCACAGCTGAAATAAGAATTTTTAGAAGCCCTCACAAGATAAGAGGTGGAAGAAGATTTTAGTCTTGTAGTTACATCCCTTGGTTTGCAATGTCCCATTTCCCTCAAGCCAGTCCTGAAAGAGAGGTAGCTGGGGGTTCAGCAGAGCCAGTGCCCGGATTTTCTGTTCCATGTTGCAGCCAGGTGTGGTTCAGCATTCAGGCCAGATTAAATTTAGTTCATGTGTAAAGCCCAACATGCATGGCTATGCACCGTTTGAGCGCAAGGGAGCACAGCTCCTTCCTACTCTTCCCCCTCCCCCTCTAGCATGAGTCCCTAAAGGGGAGGCATGAGAGAGAGAGAGAGAGTGACTATCCTTTTTTTGGAAGTGTATATATTTAGATTTTGCTAGCTTGCTGTGGCCACCACCATCCTGGCCAATTACCTATTTCAAAGTGTGATTGATGGGCAAGTATTTTATTAGGTCCCTCAGACCTTTACTGGGCTTGTATCTAAACTGCCTTTGTCTAGTCCAGGGGTGGGCAACCTTTTTGTGAGTGCGTGCCAAAACCAGCAAAATCTCTGACTCAAAATTCTTCTGCGTGCCAACCCTAATTTTTTGAGAACATGTTACGCCTACTTGATATCTCTTAAGGTGTACGTATGTGAAGAACCTTGAAGAAATAATAAAATTCATTCGAGCGACAAAAACACAGTATATGATGATGAAAAATACATTTATTTTTTAATGTATACATGTACACTGATAGTCCGACAGAAAACTTTATGACTCCGTTTGATATTATCAGTGGGACTTTTGCTGCTGCATCACTGATGACAGAGATTTTACATCAGGTTTATATTTCGTGACCTTCAGAGATATGCACGAGCTACTACTTTCATCCATCAGGCTACTCCTATTACGAGACTTAACAAAATTCATCACTGAGAACAAAGATTCACAAGCATATGTGGATGAAACAAAAACACTGGTCGTATCTAGGAAGGCAGGAAGAATTAAGACAGAGGCATAGAAATTGCTTTTCCCCTCTCTCGGTAATCCATGTCTATGGTCTTTAAGATAACTTGTTATGTAAAATTATTTATCTAAGATGCACCTACACTGAATTTATCTGAAAAATAAAAAGGTCGATATTAAGAAAAAAATTGTAAATGGAAGATTATAAGAGAGGGTTTCGCGTGCCAGCAAAAGTTACTGGCATGCCATGTTTGGCACACGTGCCAGGGGTTGCCCACCCCTGGTCTAGTCCCTTCCCCCATGGATCAGACTTAGTGTTAAATGTAGCTTTTAACAATGCTGCATAAATGGCATGCCTATATCTAGTCTTCCCTTTTACTCCTTTTTCTGTTAAATGATAACTAGGTTATTACAATGGTATCAGTAAGTCAGTTAAAGATAATAAAGAGAACAAAATGTGGGGTTTGGGAGGTGAGAGAGGGATGAAGAGTATGAGGCAGAAAAACAATCTAAGTGTTCATTAGAAAAGAGAATTTGAGAGACTAAGAGAAGGCTCCATGCCATTATCTTTCTATATTTTTAAACAAAAAATAATAAGTTACTATAAAATCTGCATTGAACTCTTTCTATTTCATGTGTATTCAGAGCTGGGTCCTTCAGCCCTGACAGCAGCAAGCAGGTCCCCTGTCTTCCTGGGAAGACCTGGAGGTGAGAACCTTCTGAGACCCCTACTGGGGACACTCATTTTGGCTTAGCTTCTCAGATCTGATTTCCCTGATGATGCTTTCAACTATCCAATTACCCTGACCCCATTTCTTCTGCTATTTCAGAGATAATCTTTCCTTTTTCTTATTTCAAGGCAAATAGAAATACCAGTCTTCCAGCAGCCATTAAATGTGAATGCTTCAAGTTGAGGAGGGGAAGGAGGATAGGGGAGAGACAGAAAAGAGCAGGTCTTACACTGTGCTCCCTTCTTCCCCCATCACACCCAGGATTCCATCTTGTGTTAGGATCCTTTTTTAAAATGTCACTTCCCTATACTTTATGCTCTACATGTAAATATTCTGTGACTCCTTTAGGTAAGGAAAGAGAGTATTTTATTTACACTTTCATGGACAGGCATGATAATAGTTACCGCTCACATTTATTGAGCATTTACCATGTGTCATGCTCTGTGGTAACACCTGATATCTCCAATTTCATTTCTTTCCTCCTATACCTCTATGAGAGCCTCACTATCATTCTGAACCTTCTAAAGATGATAGAACAAAGGTGCTTAGAGATTAAGTAACACAGTAGATGAAAGAACTGTGACTGGAATTCAGGCATTCTTAGCTACCCCCATATAAAAGAACAGGATGAGATAGAGAAGGGAAAAGATTTAAAAAAAAAAAAGAGGTCGAAAGGGCACATTAACATAAGCCAAGTTCATGGGAGTGATTATTAATTGTGTGGGAAATCTGAAATCTGCCTACAAAAACTCAGCAGTGAGTGTATTGGTTTACACACTTAAACAACAGACTCTAATACCTTCACCAACAGTTCTGTTAAAACCATAGGATTTTTAACTTTTTTTAAATCCTCACCAGGTACTATTTTTTCCATTTATTTTTTTAGAGAAAGTGGAAGGGAGGGAAGAGGGGGAGAGTGAAAGAGAGAGAGGAGAGAAACATTATGTGAGAGAGACACATGGATTGGTTGCCTCCTTCACACGCCCAGACCGGACGCAGGGATTGAACCTGCAACCGAGGAACATGCCTTTAACCAGGAACTGAACCCACAAGCCTTCGGTCTGCGGACAGATTCTCTAACCACTGAGAAACCGGCCAGGCAGGAATTTTTAACTTTTAACTCAGATTCTTAATTTGTCCAAAGATAAAAATAATGTCTGCTCCCCTCCCAATCATGTGATTTTATACATAAACATGATATAAAACAAATTGAAAACGGATATATGTTTGACTTTATGAAAGCTCTGAACACATTGTCTTATTTGTTTATTAGTTGTTTATCAAATGAATGTCTTGTGGCTTTCATAGCAAATTTGAGAGCAACAGACAAATCTGTAGTAAGGAGGTAACAGTAAAACAGGGCAATGGTCGATATCCTGTTACCTGGAGCCCAGTATTGATAATGGCAGTGATGGAAACCCATTTGAGCTGATAATTGTGTCAGGTCAGTCTGATTGAGGCCTCCAGCAGAATGATAGCTAAGTTACCATTGACTTTGTATTGAACACTCCAGGAGCATTCACCTGGAGAATGGGCGGGGCTCAGTACAAGTATCCACAATGGAGGGAAGTGCTGGGGCAAGTGCACTTTATCAATGTTAACTGTTTTATCAAGTCCCTCAGACTTAGCTGACATCACCCTTAACTTCCTAACTGCAAAAGACTAATGCCACAAAATTTTTCATTGAATAATTCCTGTTATAACGTTAATTAAAACATTATTTGACCATTAAAATAGGATAGATTGGAAAATGATATTGTAAATAAAAGAAAATATGCACATTTATAACATAGTAGAGTTCTTAATGTGTACTAATAATATTAGTATTTATACTAATAGTAATGATAATTAAACATTAATGAGTAATTACTGTGCACCAAGCTTTGTTTTATATACTTTACACTTATTTAGCCTTGCTTTTATAGATGTAAATACCATCATTATTCTTCTACTACATAAAAGAAAACTGAGAAACAGAAAGATTATATAATCACCTAGAAGTAGATTATTCTTAAATAAATAACTCCTTTAAAAGAGTGCTGAACCAGGAGGTAAGACATATTCTAAATATAACTCTACCTTTACATATTGTATTAATATTTGAGTTTTTATGCTTTACTCTGCAAACCAGTGAGATACAAAATAAAGCAAATATAAATATATGAAGATCCATGATTCTAAATAAATGTTATTCATTACAAAATAGTAATTTTGAGCAATCTATTTATTGATTCCTATGATGCAGCTATTGCCTAATATATAACTACTCTAAATTGTTTTCATGATAGTGGCATGGTAAAAGGAATCTCCTCCATGGCATCAAATCTTAATCCTTTAAGGAAGAGGTCAGCAAACACAATTAAGGGCCAGATAGGAGCTGTGTTTGGCTTTGCAGGCCATAGAGTTTCTGTGGGACTATTTACCTCTGCCACTATGATGCAAAAAACAGCCACAGAGAAGCTATAAATGAATGGGTATGGCTGTAACACAATTAAATTTAATTTACAAAAGCAGGCAAAGAATTTGACTGTTTAGGTTAAGAGCATAGTTTCTTCTTTAAAGGTGAATTTAAAGGTTGTTACTATTGTTTGGGGGAGAAGCAATCAAATCACTCCCAGACAGGTAAAGGCCCATGTGAAAAAATAAAAGGAAAAAATATGAAGAAAGAAAAGGTTATAAGATATTACTATTGATTTCCTGTGGCTCCAAAAGTCTTTCAGGAAAATACTAATAGAAGATTTGCTAAAGAGCTATTCGTAAGTGCATGGTCTCTTGAGATGATCAGTTTGAGGATGAAAATGCTTGTTTTTGCTATATAATAGCGCTGTATGTAGTATGTATAACCTAAAAGTGAAGAACTTTGACTTCAGAATTTAAAATGTAAGAATGCCTCTTCCTCATTGTGTGGTACACTTTAATTGCAAACTTTTCACAACTTAACATTTTTACTATTTATCATAAAGAAAATTTTAAAGTAATTATACTAGTTGTGATTTTCAGAATGTAAATATAAAATAATGAAGTTTAGATGTAATATTTTAATGTTTCTAGTGAGATTTGTGTTTCCCATGATGGGAGCGTTAGCTAAAATGCCATTACCAGATGGAGGCATCTTGTTTTCTGTTCCACCAAAAATGGAATTTCTTCTAGTTTCAGCTGCTGAATTGTAAACGCTTCTTGTAAGTAGTCCCCTCTTATTTGCAAGGGTGACTAAGACCCCCAGTCGATGTCAGAAGCTGTGGATAGTACCTAATATATATACTATCTATCCTATGTTTTTCCATATACATACATACCTATGATAAAGTTTAATGTATAAATTAGACACAGAAAGAGATTAACAATAATAATAAAATAAAACAATTATAACATTAGACTCTAATAAAAGTTATGTGGATGGCTTTGGGGACAGAATTGAGTGAAATAAGAATTATTTGAGCAGAAGCACTGCAATACCTCGACAGCATGATAAGCAAGAAGGCTGCTTGGTGGCTAATGGGCAGGTGGCATATACAACAAGAATACGCTGGACAAAGAGAGGCTTTACATCTGGGTGGGACTGAGCAAGATGGCTCAAGATTTCATCACTTTGCTCAGAACAGCATGCAATTTAAAATGTGTGAATAATTTGTTTCTGAAATTCTTCATTTAATAGGTTTGGACCATGGTTGACCTCAGGAAACTGAAACTGCAGAAAACAAAACCACCAAAAAGGGGCAGCTACTGTCATCAGTTCCTGAGAGCACATTTTCTCACTATAGTGACTCAGATGATTGCATATTTCCCCCCAAGTGTACAAATAATTTTCTGCTGCTCCAGTGATCCAAGAAATGTCAGATTTTACTAGGCACTTCATGTACATCTGTTTTATGCTGAGTAGAAAACTTACAAATCCCCATCTTTCTCTTTCCAGGGACGGAAGCAGCTGTGAATCCAGCTGTTGGAATTCACCTTCCAACTCAAAACCCTGAACTGTATCATGTTTCAGGTTTCAACACTTCAGGAGCACCTCCTCCATATGAAGAAATTCTGAAATCAAGCCAACTTTAGCTATGGATCATCAATTGAAAAGATTAGGAATATTTTTAAGACCAAAACATCAAAATTAGGGACAATTTTTCTCATTTAGTGGGAATTCCCAGAGATCAATTAATATAGCCTTGGAAAGGACAAGTAGACAAAACAATGAATGCAGAGGGAAAATTTTGGTCAGGATCATATTTTAGTAGTATATTAGTGGACTCAATGGATAACTGCTGTTACATTTTTTTGCTATACATCTAAGTTAATGTTCCTCCATTAATACTCATAGACAGTAATTGATAGGCAGTGATCTCAATTAAGTTTAGGATTCCACTCTAGTACACATCACAGCTTTCTCTGCCTGAATATTTCTGTTTTAATCTGATCTCTCTCCTAGTATGGAGCCAATAAAAATTGTCATAATTTAACAATGACTCAAGCAGATATTCAGACACATCCAGAGCCAGAATCAGGGAAAAACAAAAAGTTGGAATAAATCCTCAAAAAAAACGGTTAAGCGAATAATACAAATGATTAATATTGAGTTTTAAAATGGGTGTTATTCATATTGACAATCTAGGCAGAGGGAAGAATGTGTGAAGGAAGGTGGCTGAAAATAATGAGAAAGCTAAATCCTAACCTCCAATGGTGGGAAGTCAATGAATAATATCTAAAATTAAAACAAAAGTCAAGAAATAATGAAAAGTACATCATTTGGAAATTAGATTGCAAATATCTGAAGCAAAACACTCAAAAGTTGAGAATAACTCCCTGAAGAAATCAGCTTTAGAGATAATGTTATGCGGGATTAAGTGGAGCAGAATAATGTTGTGTGTGTGTGTGTGTGTGTGTGTGTGTGTGTGTGTGTGTTTATAATAAGCCTATAGTACTATTTGACTTTTAAAACTAAATGCATGCATTACTTTAATTAAAAAGAAACATAAAATTAAACAAATAAATTTTGACAAAGTGATAGCTTACAATTGAAGACAAACAGGAAATCATGATATATGGAAGAATAAAATGTTAAATGTAAATGTGTTTAAGTAGTGGGACTACAGGTGATTTAATATTTTATTTATTTTCCAAATTTTTGTTCATGTCCTATAAGCTGTGTATGTTAAAATCCATTTCAGAACAGTTTGGCGTTATCATTAACACCTATAAATGTGTAAGCACATCTGGAAATGGTACTAATGATTCAGCAGCTGGAATTGTCAGAAGTTAGTGCAAGTCCGGGTTGAAGTGACCGGAATTTAGTTTTAAGACAGCTGCATTTACGTGTCAGAGCAAGTCTAAGCAAACTACATGCTTGGCCTCTGTGGCTTGGTGTATTTATCCAGGTGAGGAAGGAAGTGTGGGGACAGGGTTTAAGCAGGTGGATAGGGCTGGTAGCAAAAAGACTTTGCTTTCATAGAAACTTTTTTGACAAAGATCTCTTATTAAGTACCACAGGTTACATTTAATTTTTAAAATATATTTTTATTGATTTGAGAGAGGAAGGAAGAGAGAGAGAGAGAGATAGAAACATCAATGATGAGAGAGAATCATTGATTGGCTGCCTCCTGCAAGCCCCCCACTGGGGATCGAGCCCACAACCCAGGCATGTTCCCTTACTGGAATCGAATCTGGGACCTTTCAGTTTGCAGGCCAATGCTCTATTCACTGAGCCAAACTGACTAGGGCTGCATTTTCATTTATTATCTAAGAAATACTGAATGGCTATTATATGTTAATTATTGTACAAGGTCTGAATTTTCCCCCCAACATATTTAGTATTTTTAAAAAATATTTTTATTGATTTCAGAGAGAAAGGAAGAGGGAAAGAGAGAGAAACATGAATAATGAGAGAGAATCATCTATTGGCTGCCTTCTGCATGCCCCACACTGGAGATAGAGCCCGCAATCCGGGCAAGTACCCTGTCTGGGAATCGAATGGAATGATAGTTTGACGCTCAACCATTGAGCCATGCCAGCTGGGCTTGTATTATTTTTAATGGTACTACAGTTTCCATCACTTGGCTTTTACTTCCAGACAGAGACTTGCAAGTTCTGTAGCCAATGCTCTTTATGGTCCACTAAAAACTACTGCAAACAATACAATAATAACACTAATATAGATTATAGGATTATCATGACCATAAAAGAATTCTGTCATCTCAGCCAACCTTTGCCTGTATTGTAGTTCATCAATAAATTGTTAATATTCTATTTAACCCAGTGTCTCTGATTTTAATTCTGACAGGACTAGATTTTTTCCCCTCTCATGTTAAAGAGCATTCCTTTTTTTCCAAATGAGGTTTTCTTACTACTAAAGGTGTAGCATTTTCTTTGAACATCCAGCAGAGGGCATGCAAGCCTATCTGTCTAGTTAGCCCATTAGCTAGATTTGATGTAGTGGTTAAATGAAACTATGAAGCTGGATTACTATTGGTGTCAGATTTTTGACAGAACCTAGAAGAATAGATTAATCATGAGCTTCAAATTTTCAAGAAGAATGTAGGGCTTTAGCTCATATTGCTCACAAAGAAACAGAGCACCAGGAGAGATGCCTGTCATCAGAGAGTCTAGTAAATTTGAAATATACTCCCCCTTCTAAGGATGACACTTATGAGTTAAAGGTGCCTGTAAAGGCAGGGTAATTTGTATTTAAATGCTCACATGGTATGTGATCTCTATAGCACTGACCCTTTAGGTCTAGCCTATTTCTTTCTTACCTGACCAAAAGTTCCTATTTAATTTTCAGTTTTGTAGTTCCATTTTTTTTTCCTTTGTGTGAGGAGCACAACTGTTATAAAAGATAACTTTAAAATTCAGTATCTTGCACAAGAATGAAATAGAGCTGGGATAGGACTGAAAAGCATTCGTATGGACAATGAAATGAAACTCAGCCAGAATATTATATTTAAGGCAGGAAGTGAAATACTTCAGGATTGTATAAGAGAAAATGAGACAATGAACATGTGTTGGCTATGACACCCCACTTTCAATAGAGAATATTTTTTAAATCAGAACAGAGGAAATAGAATATACATTCCAAATTAATTTTGCTTTGTGATTTAAACAAAATATAATATATATATATACATTTTTATTAATACTGGATCCTGAAAAATAGTATAGTTATTTTGTTATTTTAATAAATATAGTTCTGAGAAAATGGAATGTAAAATGAAATAGTTTGGTAATAAACAAAATCCTATATAATAAAAGGCTAATATAGAAATTGACTGAACAGTGGAACGACCGATCGCTATGACATGCACTGACCACCGGGGGCAGACACTCAATGCAGGAGCCGCCCCCTGGTAGTCAGTGTGCTCCCACAGGGGAAGCACCACTCAGCCAGAAGCAGGGCTCATGGCTGGTGAGCGCAGCAGTGGCGGGAGCTAGGCAGACATCCCCCGAGGGGTCCCGGACTACGAGAGGGTGCAGGCCAGGCTGAAGGACACCCCCCCCCTCCCACACACACACACGAGTGCACGAATGTCATGCACAGGGCCTCTAGTTAATTTCTATTTGTGTATTTAGAAAATAATTGTTTTTTATGCTAAAATTTATGCCAGTCTACACTGACTGACTCATGAAGCAAATAATGAATATCAATCAAGATGTCATATTTTTATATGAATAAATTGAAAAATGGTATTGCTCAGAAGCACTGAAATTATCAATGTCTGCAGGTTGAAATTATCAATGAATACAAGTTTCTTAAGTTTATTATCTTGTTTATTGAGTGAGGGTTTTCTCCTTAGAAAATCAGCTTAAAGGATACAATAAGCAAATTAAGAGAATTTCCCTTTCTCTAGCACTTAATTTAATTGTATCTCAGTATTTAATAAATAGTCAGGGTTTTTTTCCATCACATATGAAAACTGAAGTCATGTATCAATTCAAATCATCCTTCCTTGGGTGTCTAAATCTGGATAAATTTGTAATGGTAAAGAGTCTTAGGTTCCACTGACTAATTTCCTTCCAGAGTAAGAAGCATGAGAGCTATTATTTTATTAAAGAATATTGAGACACAGATAAGGAAGCCTAGGGATTACTTCTAAGCAATCAGAGGACAAGTGCATCTTACCTGATATCATATGAAATAATTGTCACCTGTGATAAAGTCAACAAAATAGGTGAGTGCTATATGGGGAGAGTAGGACTAATGAATGGAATGTCAATATCTTAGGTATAGCAAAACATTACTGGGGTGCTAAGGTCTTTCTGCAGATGTAAAGATTTTTTAATTTTTTTAAAGAGAGTATGTGGTTGGTTGTAAGGGATGCTTTGATAAGCTGCTAAAAATAAGAGCCACCTATGGGACACACTCAATAACAATAGATGGTCGTTAAAAAGAGTGATTCTGACACGACCATGTTGATCAATGGTTAGAGCATTGACCTGTGTACCCAAGGATCAAGGGTTCAATTCCCCTGTCAAGGATATGTACCTGGGTTGTGGTTTTTCCTCCCTCCCTCCTAATCAGGGTGAGTGTGGGATGCAACCTCTCTCTCTCTCTCTCTCTCTCTCTCTCTCTCTCTCTCTCTCTCTCTCTCCC